CTATCTGTGATTGTGCAAATTGGATAACAATTCACTTTGCCTAAAATGTCACCCATGGCACTACGGAAAACTCTGAAAGCCTTTTACCCCCGTGCAACCCAGGCTGGCTCTTGATTTAGACCGACATCCAGGGTCCAAGTCGCATCTGCAGACCTCCAGGGCAGCTTGAATCTGCAGCACGTAGACAGGAGGAGGGAAGGGAGCTGGTATGTGCTAAGACTGAAGCAAGCCAAGGAAGCACTTGAGGGGTTGTGAAGCCTTGGCGTATACGGTCTGCATTGTTCCAGTGCATGAGATGGGAGTAGGAAATGTTCTGCCAGTTGCTTATTCAAACACAATTTCCCTGAATGTAAAAAACCCCAAGACCAGCTTCTCATGCTCTCCTGAAACGTGATCAGTCACCCACACAGGGCACCGCGCACGCAGTATTTACCTAACCCCGAGTGCTTTCGTCCCACAGGTATTGAGGCTCTTCATAACTGGAGCTTGCCGGGAAATGAAATCCTATCTGACAAGAACGTCCCGCATGTCAGACAATGAACTGTTTTTGCCCTGAATCCAGATAGACCTTGAAATCTCTAAATATTTCATGGGATGAATTGTTCTGAAATGTTTCGATCTTGGAGCATTAAAATGACTTGTGCAGAGAGGCTGAGGGAACTGGGTTTATTGAGTCTGGAGAAGAGGAGACCGAAGGGGGTTGAATAGCAGCCTCCACCTCCTTGCAAGGTGAGTGAAAGAGGACGGAGCTGGACTGGTCTCAGTGGGAGCAGATGCAGAAGGAGCAATGGGCTCAAGCTGCAGCCAGGGAAGTTGAGGCTGGATATTAGGAAAAACCTCTCACTAGGAGGGTGGTGAAGCACTGGAAGGAGTCACCCAGAGAGGTGGCGCAGTCTCCATCCTTGGAGGTGTTTAAGACCCAGGTAGATGAAGCCTTGGCTGGGATGATGCAGTTGGGGCTGGTCCTGCTTTGAGCTAGACGAGATATGACCACCTGAGGTCCCTTCCAACCCTCATTTTCTATTATTTGGATAGTATTAAGGTCTATTCTAAAGAACCGACTGCAGTAGATGATGTTAAACAACCTGCATCCTATTAATAGAACACCTAGTATATCTTTAACATCATATAATTTGCCATTAATATAATACAAAATTAAGGATATGCCATTACTATAATACAAAATGGAGGAAACTTGGAAACCAAACCAAACAAGGTAAAATAGTTGGGGTGAATCAAAAGGAGAGACATGGCATGCACGCCACCGTTGCAGTTTCATCATCTGCACTTTTTGCCTTTGAAAACTGTCAGACCCAGCACGCTCGTGTGGATTTCTTTGAAACAGGGTTGTCTGGGGAAAGCAGGCCAGCTGTTTGTGATGGAGAGGAGCATGCTTATCCTCACTGTGCAGATGCACCGGCCTGCGGTGCTTGGGTTGAAAGGAGCCCAGGGGCTGCCCCGGCATCCGGACTTGCGGCACGCAAGGGAGAGGTCCTTGCAGTGTCTCCCGTCAATGCAGGACTGAGCACAGCCCTGCAAGCCTGTCATAGTACATGGGGTGGCAATAACCGCACATACCACTTTTCTCCTGGTGAGAAATGGCCCAAGCCTTTGGCAGGATGCTAATGCTGTACGGTAGATTTCTTTGCTAATTGAGACAGGTCCCCCAAGCCTCTCTGCAGACTCCAGCCCTTTCCCCAGGGGAGACTGGACCAAATGCGGGATGGCGCTCTGCTCCCAAGCCCGTGCGCGGAGGGCACTTTGTTCACCACCCCTTGAAGTCTATCAGCCACGTCCTTGCGAGGGTCAGGCTGGTGCAGGGAGCTGAAGCATACCCTTTGGTTGACCCCGGCCAAGAACTGTTTGCACTTTCATCATCCCTTTTTATTTTCCTCATACCTGCTGTGGTGGGCCAGCAGGGGGTGCTCCTGTGCTGAGCCGCCCACCTCCCTGCGCCCGCCCACCTTCCAGGCCCCGAGCGCCTCCCTGGGGTGCCTCACGTCCGGCCGACCCCCTTCCTAGAGCACCCTTGCTAGCCTGGGGGTAACGTAGCTGCCACCACCCCGAGAGGGGACTGTCTCGGGCCTCGGGGAAACACAGGCCTCATAGTCCAATGGGTACTTGACCCAGCACAGGCACTTGGGGCACTTCCCCAAGTCGGGGGCCAAAAGGGAAAGTCTTCCTTAGTCCGCAGACCTGAGGGGCCTCTTAGGCATAATTTAGACCCACCCCTCAAAAACTCTCCTACACTGGTCACAAAGGAGAACTGTATTGATTTATGGGGGTAGGGTGAAAATAGGGTATAACAATAGAGCAATATCATAGAAATCCCATCGAGCAAAACAGTCTGGCTGAGGTAGCCTTTTGATCATGCATCTGAGTTACTGCCAGCTAGATATCTAATCAGATCTCGAGTAGCTTACTCACAAGCCTCCTCCCGAGGCTGTGGGAGATCCCCTCTGGAGGCAGGCCGTTCCTCGCTCATGAGTTATGGGGGAGAGAGCCAGTTTCAGATGGTCAAGCTCCTCTCCATGTCCGAGCCCCCAGCATGGCTACTGCCCCCTCCTCCTGGGCAGTCTTAACTTATATAGCCCCTGTGACCTTGTTCCCCTGGTCCAATGGACGCCAGCACCTGTTGGCTGTCTGCCAACCAATTTGAAATACATCCCTAGTTGCTGGGCAGACTCTAGCCCCCCAGGTAGATGCCCCTCACCCAGGTAGGTGATACCAGTCATGTAGGCAGAGGGAGCAGGTCCCCCCTCCCTCAGGACTGTAGCCAGCTCAGGTTACCTAAAGAGATAGGGTAAAGGGGTGTCTCCTCTGCTGGGCCGATCCTCATCACATTGTCACCGAGCAGAGATTTGGGGAGAAACTGAAGGTGGCTTCCTGCCACACCTGCCATCTGCTTAGCTATATAAGAGCTGCTGCGTGTCAGCACCACAGAAGAGAGCTCCAGGCAACTGCGCGTGAACTTCAAAGGAGGCAGGTAAGAGCCAGAAAGTTCCCATCTCTGCAGCACTGAAAGGGTCGACTGCAAAGTGGAGCCCAGCTGTAGCCGAGCAAGGGAGTCTAATGATGTTTCCTTTGATTGCTGTAGCAACCTCCTTAATCATTTATGAAAATTAAATTTTAAAGTGGGGAGAGAAGATCTGGCATGCCAAATCCGCAGCGCTTGCTTGTGGCGGTGCTAAATTTGTGATGATGCCTCAGTGAGCGTGTATAGCTGGGATCATTTAGAAGGTGCTCTGGGCAGGGGAGGCAAAACTCAGCACGATTTGGTAGCCACGGGCTGATTCCTCCGCTGGCGCGGGAAGCAAAGCAGCCACGGCTGCAGCAGTTAACCCCAGCGGAGGATTTCTTTGACCTGCTGTTTGGAAATACTGGGCCTGGCTGTTAGCTGGCGTGTGGAAAGCTGTACGCAGATTTGCATCTGCTGAGGCTCTGGCCCATCTATTTTTCTAAGTGACTAAAAATGAACAAAAACTCTCAAGATCGTGACTGAGATGCACAGATCTCCACCAACAGCACTATGTGCGTTTCCTCTGGAAACCGTCCCCGCAACCTATTCCAATGCTGGGCACGTCTTTTGGAGACCCTCCAACAAATCCCACTGATTTTATTTGACGTGATTTTCAATCGAAGCTGCTTGAGCCTCTATCTTTCTCTTCTGTTCAATAATCACTGCTACAGGAGCTGAGAATCATTATGTGCTGATCAAAGGGAAAATGTAAGAGACATTCCAGCGAATTAAAGTCTAATTTAATTGTGCCAAGAACTGTCATAAAGGGATTTAAAAAAGTATCTTGAACAGATAAAGAAGTTGTTCAGTGTGACCTAAATAATGTTATTTCTCTGTGCTGAAACTCGGCAATATGCAGATTGCACAGTGCCTTTCATTAAAGGGACAAGGGTGGGTTCAATTTGGCCTGTCATTTAGATTTGGTAAGCATCTGTTTCCATTAAGCTGAAGACCTGGAGAAATGTTTCTTTGATTGCTTTTTTTTTTAATTTCAAGGCAAGCAGATTTATTTGCATAAAGAGATATTCTGGAACAGCGCTCTCAATCCAAAAGTATAACGTGGTGCTACATTATGGGAATTGAAAGGGGACTTGGTTTTGATTAGAACTAAATTAGGTGAAAATACAGACATATAAAATTGACTGTTTTTGTTGTCTGAGTTGAGTGAAATCCCCGCCATGAAAAGCAAGCTACTTGCAGAGGGAAAAATGAATTAGATCTTGAGCATGATTTGAGGGGTTGTTGGTAATGCAGAGACTGGCACTGTTTTAATACCTGCAATATCCCATCTGGGGGGTTCCTTCCACCCTCCTTGTTCCCAGGCCACTTCTGCGCAGATGCTGGGATCCTGGCAAGCAGGACCAGTGCCTGCATCCTGCTGAACTGGGTTTGCACCTGTGCTGATATGGTTTTCTCAGCAGGCATCGGGACTGAGGATGTCGGCGGCCTGGCGCATCGTCCTCTGCTGTGCTTTGCTGACCCCGGCTCGAGGCCTCTTCAGCCTGGAAGGGCTCCTTGGTTTAGGGAAAGACAAGTCTGGAAATGGTGGTGAGCTAGCCTGTTCCCTTGTGTTTCTCTGAGCTTCCCGTCGCAGCAGACCAGCTTGCATTTTTAGCGAGGCAAATATCACCTTGCTCTCAATTCTCAGAGTCCCTCTCTGTATCTCTGCTCTTCACCTGTCGCTGCCCCGGCTCCATCAGGAAGCCCAGCTGCACGTTCAGTTTTGCAAGACTGCTGTGAGCTTTCCTCTCCTGCTGTTTGGTACCCAGGAAAATAGGAAATCAGCTCCTTGGGCATGACACAAAAAAACCCCTTGCCAAGGGCACGTTCGCCCAGAATAGATTAATGGGAAGCCTAAAGGACTTGGACCCTGCCCGGCTCCCATAAAACGAGTGGGAAAACTGCCATTGACTTCAAAGGCTGCAGGATCCCTGCGGTCTGAGGGACGCAAGGCCGGTTTAGCTGGAGAGCAGGTGACCCAATGAGATTTCTTGTTAGCCGTTGCGGATTTGCTGCAGGAAGGTGGGCTGGTGAGCAGTGTGCTGCAGACCACCGTCCCACAGGCTGGTGAAGGGGGTCTGCTGGGTACAGGCCTGCTCAGCACTGGAGGTTTGCTCGGCATAGGGCTTCTTGGCAATAGAAATGTGCCTGGCAATAGATAGGTGCCTGGCACGGGTCTTGGTAAAGAAGGCATGCCCCTCACAGGTCTTGGCCGTGAAGCTGTAGCTCTCCAGGCCTCCCTGACAGTGGAGGTGGGCTAGGAAAAGGTGTGCATGTGGTCTCCCCAGCTCAGGAGGTCTGCCTGCCAAAGGTGCATTACTAGGGGAGGGCTCTGTTCCCTGCACAGGCCCTCTAGGCAATGACACCGAAATGCCTCTAGCATGGGGCTTTCTGAAGACTCTCAGAGCAGAGATCTTCCTGGCCATCAAGGCATGCCCAGCACAAGACTTCCTGGCTACACAAATGCATCTTTCACTGATTTACTAGGCCACGAAAATGGGTCTTGCACCGACCTTCCCGCTCATGGACACAGGCCTGGCATGTGCACATAGCATAGATCTCCTTGGCCATGAAGCCAAGCCTTCTTTGGGTCTCATGAGTCATGGCAATGTGTCTAGCATGTGTCTTCTAGACCATGAAAATACGTCTAGCACAGCCCCCCATGGCCAGGAAGGTGTACATGGCTCTGGTCTTTCTGTGCCTAAATGAAGCGGTCTCAGCCATGAAGTTCTTCCCTGCACTGAGAGTCAAGCGAGTAACGAAAGTTTATTTGCTGCAGGAGGTGTGCTTGGCACGGGTCGTCTTGACAAAGGAGGTCTGGCGGGTACCGCTGTTCTCAGCAATGAAGGCGGCGGAGGTGGTGTAATCAGTACGGGTCAGGTTGGAGAAGGTGGGCTGCTTGGTACGGGTCTTCTTGCTAACGGAGGTTCCCAGAGTAGGGGAAGTCAACCACGTAATGGAAGCCTACTTGATGCTGGAAGTCAGTCTGGCAAAGGTGGTCTGCTTGACACACATCTTCTTGGTGGCGAAGGTCTTCTTGGTGGCGAAGGTCTTCTTGGCGGAGAAGGTCTTCTAGGAGGCGAAGGTCTTCTTGGCGGCGAAGGTCTTCTAGGAGGCAAAGGTCTTCTTGGCGGCGAAGGTCTTCTAGGAGGCAAAGGTCTTCTTGGCGGCGAAGGTCTTCTAGGAGGCAAAGGTCTTCTTGGCGGCGAAGGTCTTCTAGGAGGCAAAGGTCTTCCTGGCGGCGAAGGTCTTCTAGGAGGCAAAGGTCTTCTTGGCGGCGAAGGTCTTCTCGACAATGGAAATCTGCTTGGCCTGGGTAACCTGCTGGGAGCACAAGGTCTTCTGGGCGAAGAAGGCCCTCAGGGGCCCGTGCCGGGCTTTACATTGTGAGTGAACATGCAATGACGTTCAGTGGCATTATTAGTTCTGTTACTAACGAGGGGCCAAAGCCTCGGGTGTCACGAATTGCCACAGCTCCACTGACTCCACCATGAACGTGGGGGCTTTAGTTAGATCTAAATGGCTCCACACAGCAAAGGGCAGCAGCTGAAGTTGGGCCCATTACCCCCTGCCTCTTGCTAAAGGACATGCAGTCGGTGGGTCTGATTCACTGCTGCCGGTTTCTGGTTTGTGCCGGTGTCACCACTTTGATTTAACAGGGTGGAGAGGCGGTAGCACAGTAGTGAAGGGGGTTACGTGGGATGGCTGTGGAAGTACGTTCCTCCCTGCTGCGGGCAGGCGCGGCAGGCCCTTTGATGCAGCCGGCATCTTGTTCTGCATCTGGCCAGGTGATGCTGACAGCGGGTCCCTTTGCCTCCCCTTCTGCCTTTTAACTCTACGCCTTCACGTGCCTGGCATAGGAGCAAAGACCGCGGGCACTAGTTCCTTGAGTCTGGGAGTTTCGAAGGAACCCAAAGGAGCTGGGTCCAAAAGACTTTGATGCAACTCCCTGAAGCCCTGTTGAAAATCCCAGCCTTAAGCACATGAGAAGTACCTGTACTTGCCCAGGGGCCCCCAGTGGTGGATTTTCACAAACCCCAGTGGCCCCTCGCTTCCTCAGCCCCTTTGTTTGCTCCTCCTGGAGAGACGTCACTCGCACGAATGCCACGCTGGCGTCCCCGTATGACTGTGCCGGGGAGTACCTGGCTGCTGGGGGGAGCAGAAGACCAGGCTGACTTATGGGCAAGACTAGCAATGCCAGGCAGGAAGACCAAGGGCTGGGGTGTCCTGGGAAATACGGCAGGGCCAACCCACTCCCGTCCTTTTGCTTTTGTGTCTGCCCCGCAGGTTAAATATGCTGAACCTGGAGAAGATCCGTGTGTCGTGGAAAGTCCTCCAAGGAACCGAGTTACTGCTGAACCTGCAGTCCAAGCTAACCCTGAACCTGCCGGGGTGAGGAGGCGACAGCGGGGTTAGCAGGCACGGCCGCTGCCGGCAAGTGCCGAGAAACCGGAGCGCTGCGGCACGAGCCAGGCCTGTAATAATACGATAACAAACGTTAAAAGACAGCTTGGTAGCTAACGGCATATCCCAACATTTCCCATCCCATTTAACCACTCAGTGTCCAGCTTTCACCAAATTAAAGGGAGGCTCTCCAAGCTTGTAAGCTTGAAAAAGAAAGAGCGAAAGCATTGGTGTGAGGTACCAGCCTCAGTGCCCAGCATGAGAGCTCCTGTTGCCTCGTGCACGTGTTCGTTTCTGCTGGCACGTACGGGGTCTCGAGGGTGATGTCCCAGCTCCTGAAGTGATGGGCAAAATTGCATTGGCTTTAGTAGCATCAGGATTTCATCCTGAGCTGCCCATTGAGAAGCTGCCAGTCTGTAAAGCAGATGCAGATGCAGCGGAGAGGCAGACATGGGCATTGTGCCAAGCGCAACCGCCCCTTGGTACGGCCCTTGTTGGTGACCCGTTCATCCAAGCCTCTGGGGCCCAGCCAGTGATGGCTTTGCCGCCGCGTAAAACCCAGCGACAGCATGGTTTAGACACAGGACTGGATGGCACAGGCTGCTTTCCCAGGTTAGCTCGGCCCCCTTCCCAAATGCACGACCTGTCTGGGCTTCTGTTCCAGCATGTTCTTGCTCCTGAGCGGAGCCTCGTTGGAAGCGAACTTCACGTCGCACATCGGGATCACGCAGGAGATGCCCGGTGACCTCAAGCTGGTTGTTAAGGACTGCCATGGCCTTTTCGGTGGCATTAAAGTCGACCTGCAGAAGGGGTGAGTGCCGGGAAGAGTCGCGCTCTCGGGCAGTCCTGCATCACAAATTGCTGCGCTCGGGGGCTTCGTTTCTTGGGCACAAATGATTCTGCATTTCTGAGAGCTTTTCATCCCACGTGCTTTGCGAAGAAGGGTCGGACACTGAGTCCTGCTTGGATGCCCCGAGCGGGACTCGCTTGGTGATCTGCACAGTGGCCGCCTCTCCAGTCCTGTGTTTCAGCCAGGATGCAGGATTCGCCCCCCACGACCACCCCAGAGCGGCCGTGCACTGATTTCCAGAACTCGGTGTGGCAGAGAGGAGAGTAATTCAGAGGAAATCTCGGCGGTGCACGGCGGGTTCGTTGCACAGGGAGCAGAAGGGGCCACTAGAAAAGCAGCTTTCTCCATAGACGAGCGCGGGAGCCACGTACCTCTGTTGCACAAACAGCCGTGTTTAAAATAGCATGCAGACCTAAGGACGGCTCTCTGCATGTGTGCAAGGGAGAAGTGCTTCTGCCTCCAAACCGAATGTGGACAGACGTGCTAATAAGAGGGTTTTTCAAAGGCGCTGGATGCCCGCTGCCCCTGGGAATCGCGGATGTTCAGTGCCTTTCGCACCCAGCATGTGTTGGGATGCTGGGCTCGTCCTGGATCCAGACCAGCAAGGCATTTGGGACTCGGGGACTCCTGTTTTGAGAAGCACATTGACATTATCTTGAACTTCTTTGTTTCTTCCTTCCTAGTCTGCTCAGCGGTCTGGTGAGTGGTTTGCTGAACAACACTCTTCGCACCCTCTTGCCAACGGTGGTAAGTCTGCGAGCCAAGCGGGAAGCTGTAACTTGACCAGAGCTGCTTTATGTTCAAAATTGCCTGGCAGGTTTTTAAAAAAAATAGACCAATCCGTATAGACGTATATATAGTCACAGACAAAAAGCCATAATTGAATTGTGCATACTTCCTTGATCTTTCTTGGAGCCAGGATTTATTTCTTAAAGGTAATTCAAATTCCATCATGCAACGTTACGGGATAATTTGTAAGCAATTGCTTTCTGAAATGCCTGTTAGTCTGGAGAAGGCACGGTAAACAGAAGTGACAGGATCACTTAGTAACAAGCCACTTGTTAGAAAAATCTTTTATTCTGTTAAATAGAGTCTGTGCCATTCGGCAAAGGGGGCTAAGCAATTTGTATGGCTTTACTCCATGGAGAAAGCTGCCTCCAACTTGCTTCCAAGGCCCCGAAATGGAGGTGGCCGGTCGTGCTAGCGAAACTTGTCCGTCTGCCTATGACTCCCTCACTGAGGCTTTTCTGCTTGTTGCAGCTGTGTCCTTTAGTCAACGTTTGGACCAACATCATCAACATGCAGCTGCACTTCCTCGACAGTAAGTGTCTGGCGCGGGTTTTCTTTCCTCTGCTGATGCTTGGGGGTCTCAGGCCGCCCGTTCTGTTCATCTCTAGAGCTGATCGCAGGCTCCGGCGCCCCAGAAGCAGCAGACCACGGGGATGTGCATGGTCTCCGAGGTGCAAACTGGATGGCGTTTGGTGCATTGCATCTCTCCTCCTAACGGGCTTCCTTCCTCCGTGCAGGCACCGTCTCCTTTGGGCTGCTGGGCAAAATCCACGCCGCCCTCTCCGCCCTGCCCGTGTCCACAGGGCAGTTCTTTGAAGTGGACTTGCAGGTACCGGCTTGTCTTCACCTGTCATTTCTGAGGCTGTGTTTCACACCCGTTGACTGCTGGGGCTTGGGGATATTTTGTCCCAGACCCCTGCCCCTCTTAGCCCATCTCCCTGGCCTGCGGGAAGGGGTGTCGGGAAGTGGGCTCTGTGTGGCTTCCCTCACAGAGATGCTTGAGTTGCTCCCCCAAAAATGAGAGGCCTGCCCCTTCCCACTTAGTGGCCTCAGGACCCAGCCACAGACCACAGGGACTTCAAACACCATCTGCCTCGCTCACGGTCCTGCCTGCGTGCCTTCCTATCGGCTGGGTGGTCCCTGGCATTCATTAGGTTTTAATGAACAGCTCTGGGCTCTTTCTGTAGGATACACCTTTCCCGAGTGTCTTCATCAACTGGCTCCTTCAGGGTAAGTTTGTGTCTAGCACGACTCTCTCCTCGGAGACCGCGTGAGCCTAGGGAAGAGGGTGGTTGAATCTTGGTTACTTTTATCTACTTGCCTAGAAGCCGGTAGGTAGTTATCTCAGGGGAAGCCACCCTTGGAGCATCTGAGCTGATGAGAAAGGTCTGCAGCTGGGGGTCGGAGAGCCAGAGACGGCAAAATGTGGGAGGCGAAGTTCTCATAACATGCACGTTTGCTTGAATCTCTCCCAGCCGCAGGTGTCAATCCTGGAGTGCTCAGTCAGTGACCTCCTCCCTGGCAGACCCCAGCAGGCAACCCAGGGTAAGGATGGCTGGACCAGGTGGCGAATGGTTTGGCAGCCCCAAATGCAGAGCTCGCCTGCCACGTCCACACAGTAGAGTTAGAGCACCGGGCAGGCTGCTGCGAGCCCACGGGCGGGTAAGCACATGCATGCAGTGCTACCTGTAGACTAGCCGGGGTGAAGCGCCGCCTGCCTGCCCGCTGCTACGTTGCTGCTGGGTAAGAAGCTGGCCTATACCCTGCGCACGGGAACCTTGCTGCTAGCAAAGTGCTTCTGCATTGTGAACGATGCTCGCGTGATTACACGTGGGAACGTAATGCTGCACCGTCTGTGGCCTTGTGCGGGGCTAATGCAAGGAGCATCAACACTGTCTACAGCAATGATCATTGACCCATTTCTCTGAACCTTTTCAGAGTACTTGCTGATCAGCAGAACTGTCCATAAATGCTTTTCCTCCTGCGGAAAGATGAACAGAGCTTGTCAAGCATAGCCCATGAACACTAGCAGCAAATAAACTCTTCCAAGGGGTATTTTTAAACTGTCTCATCTGCGTGTCTGTCTAATCTGCTTTCAAGCACTTCTGAGGATGAGCAACCTCTCCAGAGCATCTGTTTTAGTGCCCAGTACCGACTATCACTTGCTGTATGCCCAGTCGGTACTCCTCTCTAGCTTGTCACATCCTGGTGACCTCCTGATCGTAACGCTCTTTGAGTCAGTTGCCATAAAACCCACTTGCATCAGTAGGTCTTGTTAAAGGATACGGATCAGCACCTGAAAAGCTCCTTCGTGCAAAACCCTCCCAGACTTCAGCAGCAGCTTTGCATGGGCTGAGGCTGATGTATTGGGCCCTGGCGCCAGATCAAATAAAGCTTTTCTTTCGGACAGGGCTTTCTCCTGGCATCTGACCACTCCGGGAAATCCTGCTGGTGGAAGAAACTTGCACCCCTTGGAAGCATCCCACATGATGGAGGGGGAGAACAGTGAGACCAAAGGAGCCTGCACTCAACTTCTTTTCCTTGCCGCCAGCATTTCCAGTGCTTGGCTGCATGCAGAAGATGTTGTGGTGTTTCTGGCGATTTGAGTTCAAAACCAAAAAAGCATAATCCAAATGCACAGGTAGCAAGCATGTGGGCAAGCATTTACACCTTGCAATGATCAGAATCAATATTACCCCAGCAAATAATCTCCACGCGGCTTTGGGTGAGCATTCAATTGTGGGTTGGGTGTTTCGCATCTCTTGCATTTCTCTTTCCAATAAAAGATTCTTTATCATCTGCCTTCTGCCTCTGAGGTTATTTTCTCTTCCAAATGGGCAAAGGATTTTAGCATTTGCGAGGGTTTTGCTATTCATTTCTCCTTTCTGCTCCAGAAGTTATTCTGATGTCCAACGAATATTGAATAGATAAGCCCATCGGGGAAGCGTGGCGCTGCAATGAGATCCCAGCCTGGACTGGAATCTAAATCCTGCCCGACCCTGAAGGCGGCAGGCCTCTTGCAATTTAAAGTAGCTGCAAAAATGAAACCGGAGATGAAAAATGAACGTTTCCCCGAGTTGTGTTTATGCAGATTTATGCTGCCCTTGTTCTTGAGTCTTCTGGTTCATTTACTTTTCTTATTTGCCTCTCCTTTCCCAGCGAGCTGGGTGTTGATATCGCAGGGGCTGCTCTTTAGTTGCCCAGCCTTGTTGCAAGAAGGGGGGTCTTTGCTCGGGGGCACACAGCAGGGCGGCTCAGTGACCCCCCTACTGCAGTCATCTCTCTGTCACTTGGACCCGCAACTCTCCCTCCGGGAAAAATGGCAGGTTCACTGGCCCCGTTCCCATGTCTCCTCTCCATCACCCACCCCCAAGCTCCCCACCACTTCAGCCATGGAGAGCCGGTGCCTCTTCCACGGCCGGCAGCCGCATAGCCCCAGCCTGGTGAGAGGAGAAGAAATGCAGAGGAGTGTGAAGGAAGCTTTCTCACCACGCGGGCAGTAGTAGTCTGAGCCCCTGTTGATGCCCGCGGCCCTCCGACCCCGGGCTGGTCCTGTAGCAGAAGGATTCAGAGCACCTGCGGCATTTCGGCAGTAATTCCTTCCCGAGCGCCGTGGGCCATCTGCCCCCCGGCTCCCTCAGCCCTAAGCCTCGACTGCTTGTATTCGAGCCACGTGGCACCCAAAGTGCTTCTTGAGGCAATGCAGCCGAGAGCAGCAAATTGTGCCCAATTACAGCTTGCTTCTGGATGGGAACAAAGGGTGAGAATAACAAGGCTGTTTTCCTGCTGCTGAACAATTTGTCGACAAACACGAGAAGGGAACAATTTCTGCAGACCAAAATCTCAGTGTAGGCGGCAACTGCTTTGCCTGCATAAGGCTGGCACAATATGTCCTGCAGCTCTTATGAAAGAGCAGTCAGAGAAGTCTGTGCTTGTCAAGCTGCTAACATCATTTGGCTCTCAAAAGGGTGCACCTACGTGTTCGTTAATGCGCTTTTGCTAATGTGCATTAAATTTAGTACCTCAGGGCACGCTTACACATGTGCTTTAATGCGCATTAGCCTATTTTAATGCGCATTAGCCTATTTTAATGTGCAAGGCACCAGGAAAAGCTCATACGAGCCCAGACCTCCGCTCCCGACCAGCAGCAGCATGAGCAACCATGGGAGGACCTGGGAAATGAGTGGCACTTATGGCATTATTGAGAAAAGCAGCAGTATCAGTGATTAACCTAATTAAATTAGCAATCCTGAAAGATTACACATTGTCTGCGCTACTCAGAGACAGACCCGCTGTTCTGAATGTCATGGCGCTTAGTCAATCTATTTTGCTTTTTATTGACAAAAGGTAAGTTCTTCGATAAACCCTATGTGGACAGCCTGATTAAAAGCCAAGAGATACTGCACTAATTGAGTGCTTTGAGGAAGTGCTGGTGATAGGACCGGCTATAGATAAAAAGCCCTGCGCTTCTAAGAAGGCTTTCGACACCGCTCCGCGTCAAAGGTGATTCTATCGCATTTGTGTAAAAGGCAATTACATCAGCAAGGTCCTTCCTGTGACTCTTCCCCTGCACCATCAAGTCAAACCCTGCAGGCTCCCCCGCGCGAACCTCGGGGCTTGAGCAAAATCCTGAATGCATCTCCCTAACGCAGGTCGGGTGCAAGTGCTGACGGGCACAAAGCTGGCGGGCAGCGCCTCAGTCCATCTGGGGTGGGCAGAGGATGCGCTGTGACTCTCCATCTCTTCAGGGCAGCACGGTTCATCTGGATTTGGCCCCTATTGAGCCAGGCAGAGGAAAACCTGGCTGGCTGGATGCACTTCTCAGGCTTGCACACTATGTTCACGACCGTGCTGACCAGCAGCCTCATGCTTTTCAGGAGCGTGCCGGAGGCTCAAGGCTTCCTTCCAGGACAGGGCAGGTATCCCGAGTAGCAGAGCCTGCTTGGACGTTACCTTTGGATCGGCCATGCACTTTTCATATTGATTCCCAATGATTTATTCTGGGGGACATCAACTACAAATAGGAGAACAATATGTCAGAAATAAGGCCCTTTGCTCTCACCGCTGTGTTGGTCTCATCCTACAGCAGGTTTTGGGTACATTCGGGCCAGCCAAGGAGACGAGCAATGGCTTCACGTGGATACACAAGAGCCACAGAGCAGGTGGGGAAGAATAAATGATAACAATAAATGATAATATTGAACCAAGAGCTCTTTGTGAGCAAACGCCTTTCTGAAAAGTTGGACCGGCAGCATCAGATGCGAGGGCAAAACTCAGAGTTCTGCTGATTTGGATTTAAGGGATGAATATCTTGCATGGAAGTCTTTCTTTATAGATCAGGTGCCTGTGTTGCATGCCAGGGACGTAGCTGGCTCAGGGATGCATCCCAGGCTGATGGTGCCTGGCGTCTTTGCCAGCTAACACCACCTTCGATGGTCTGTGCAGAGTTAGCACGCGGCATCGACTGCTTTGCAGACAGCCGTTCTCCTCCCAGCCAGCGTCTGCGTTGCCAAGCCAAGTGAAGCCTGTGTCGGGGAGGAAGGAAGCCGCTCTCCGCTGCTTAATGATGCTCTGTTGAGTTACAAAGTGATTTGCAGGGGGCCAGCGGGACCGTGAGGCTGTCTGTAGCAGCTGCCCAGGGCTTTCCATCTTGGGCAGGCACTTCCTAGGAGCTGGAGAGCCGAGGTTCGGCTCCTGGCACCCTGCCCGTACGCGAGGGGCACAGCTGTGCCACTTCTCTTTCCCGCTGTCCCCCATGGGGTTGCCGCACCAGTCTGATGGTTATTTGTTATACAACCTTCTTGCTGGTGAAACATGTTCTGCCCAAGGCCGCCGGTATGGGTGCAAGTGACCCTTTGCTTCTGCTAGCGCCTGACAAGGCCGAGAGCCCCTTGCGTACCCTGCGCTAGGTGATTTCCATAAACGAGGGCCCTGAGTTTTGCCACTTCTGGCTTCCCAGCTTGTTCCAGGGCAGAGTTTAATGAGTCCTGTCAGTTTATTGCCTGGTGTTTCTTATCTTTGGGGGACTCCGTGTTTATCCTGACATGGCAAAGACAATACAAGCCGTGTCTGACAGCGGCAGAGCGTGCACGGAGACCCCGGCGCGCATCGCTTGGCATCTGTCAGAGCAAGGCTGAAGACCAGGCTGTAGCAGGAGGAGGGAACAAAGCTGAGCAGATGCTGTCATAAGCGCACGGATCAATCCCGCTCTTCTAGAGTTATTTGGGGGAAAGCAGCAGAGGAAAGATCCTTTCAGCCGACAAAGCATTGAAGGCAAAAGCGTGCTTCTTGCACCCAGAAGACCCTGCACGATGCAGCTTGCTGCTGCCAAAGCTAGAAGCAAGGCAAGTTCAGGGTCCCTCCTCACCCCTTCTGCTTCATGTGAAGGATGAGGGAGCAGCAAATAACCTTGCTGGGTGCCAGGAGGCTGAGAGCTGGGGCGGTGGGGCCGGGTTGGAGGGGAGCTCCCTCCCACCCCAAATTCACATGCTTGCACCAAAAGGCCAAATGACAAAGCCAGCTGGAAACAGGGGTGGGCAGAGATTCCCAGGGGCAGTGCAGGGCGTCCACTTCCTGAGAAGCTCGTTGCATTTGTGCAGCTTGGCTTCACCTTGGCAGTGTGGTGCCCCTTGCCTTGGCATGCAGCTGGGTCTGACCCCTGGCATCTCTCCGCTCCGTGCTCAGCTACTTTCGGCTTGGATTGCCTTCCCCTGCCTCCGAGCCAAACGGTGCACCCTCGCCAAGGGAATGAGCTTGCATTTGCCCTCTGAGGAGCTCCCTGTCCATCGTCTTCTTGCGTCCTTGTCATAAATGAGATGTTTGGCCACAGCACCCGACTGCACGTAAGCTTTTCTTCTGTAACCTCAGTTGTCCCATCAGCCAGCATGTCCAAGCGCTATTTTAAAATGCAAAGCTCTTTTGCATTTTAAGTCATTTAGTTACTTCTGTGTGACCATAGAGTGGATACCTGGGGTCTTCCATCTGCCGTGATCCTTCTTTTTAGCTTGCTACCTTTCTTCTGATATCAGGGGTGCCACGTCAGCTAGGAAGTGCAGGCTATCCTTTGGTGTTGGCTTTAGGCATCCTGTTTTGGCTAATGTTGGTGCATGTGGGCAATGTGGGCTGGGGAGCTGAGCTGGTGAAGATTTGGGGAAGCCTGGCGTGCTGGGAGCTGTCAGGGCAGGAGCTCAGCATTCACAGGCCACTGGCTCTCAGGAGGAGGCTGGACATGTTTAAAGCCTGGCTGGATGCTGCCCTGAAAGATCAGATCAAAGCCAAACAGGAATGAACACGAGCCAGAAGGCTTCCCCGAATGATATGGGAGGCCAGATGGGACTGGCCACGAGCAACACAGTCCATCTTTCTTTCCATGCCCACCCGGGTCTCTTGCCTCTGCACGCACCCAGTAAAAGCTGCAACGGGAGTCTTGCCATCAACGTTAATGAGCGTCAGCTTACGCTGTGTGCTGGATTCAGTCCCTGGGCCCAGTCCAGTATGTGGCGCTGGTCCAACTGGGGTGAATCCAGGGCTTGGGAATTTGGTGGCGGGGCAGCAGCAGGAGTGTTGCTTGCTATCGCTCCCCCACGGGGGACTCTGTGGGCTGGATGACGTGGCTCTGCAAGCTGGATCTGGCCCAGAGGCCGGGTGCTGAGCATCCCCGGCTCTGGCCCTGAGTGCTTCTCCTCGTCCCTTTCCTTTAGGTGTCTCACTTAGACAGAAGGCATTGGGTTTGTA